CTCATCGCCGGTGTGTCCATGATCACCGTTACCTTCACCACAATCATCATCATCATCACCAACACTCAAACCCAGAATTTATTGAAGAGGCAAATTAAGGTTCATCTGATTTCATTTAAATCACAGGAGACCAGGGATTGGGCTTGTGTTTGCCTCACGGTGTTGATTTCACACTCTTCCACTTGAACACAGCGCCAAGAGGAGGAAGTGAGGGAGCTTGGATGTGAATGTAGATCTGTCTACGTGGGGGGTCTGGGGAGACTAAGCCGAGAGGAGTCTAGGAACCAAGCTGGCACTGGGGATTTCCTCTAGGTGCTTACATGAAGGTACCCCTTTGGCCCATCCTTCCGTGTCCTTGGGGAAGCCTATGAGTGGGACCCAGGCTATCTCTTGTCACCTACTGTCTCCCTGTTTCTTTGCCATGCTTACACCCAGTCCCTTAAGGCTTACCTGCCACCATGCCTGCGATAGCAGAAGAGGCATAGCTGCCCTGTCCACTGGTGGGGATGTGGGGTGGGTATCCAGGCAGCGTGGGCCCCACCATCTCTCGCCCTGGTGAAAGACACCAAAGAGTCATTAGTTGGCGTATGGGTGGCTCCCAGGCTCACCAGCCCACCCTGCCGAGGCTCAGCAAGTCCTCTCCTCACAATAGCACCAGAGCCCCAGCCGTTCTCTAAACCTGCTTGTTCTCTCCTGTGAGCCCAGCTTCTCGTTCTCTCTGGAGGAAAGAGGCTCACCAAGCAAGGGGCTCTTGTAACTGCAATCCTACTTTGTTCCCCATTCCCTAGGAGCTTTATTTTAACAAATGTTGTATTCCTCTACAAAAAAAAAAATCAAGGAATTGAGTGCCAGAGGTGGTGTCCTCTTAGTCTTTGTCTCCCTGTCCAGCATAGTAGTCAGCCCCAGTGGACTAAATAAATACACGAGAAGCCACAGAACTCAGGGTGCCGCGTTTCGCCTGGCTTTCAAAAGAATGACGAACCCAGGCCTTGTGAAATAGAGATAGATGGATGATCCATCATTGTCCTTCGGGGGATATATGGCAGACAAAGCTAATCAACCACAGAGGAAGCTCCTACTGGTTGGCCTGGACTTCCAGGTGGATATGATTAATCAGAAAGTAAGGGACATGAAACAAGTTGACGGCTCCTGATATAAAAGGAACACCACTGAGAGACTGCTGTCTTTCCCACACGATCTGAAGGGGCATTCTTATCAATTGCACTTCTTTAAAAAGCCATTTCCAGGATGTTTCATCCCCGATTGACCTCTGCTTATCTGTGATTTGTGGCATGCCTACATCCTTGTGACACAGAGGCATCCCTATGAGCCCCCATCTCCCTGGATCTGTCTTTCCTTCGCATCCCATCTGGAAGACCTCACTTGACCTGCTGGTGTTCTCTCCATCTACCCCAGCCCAAGAACCAGAGTCCCTGGACTGCTTGCCTCCTCATCGTTCCTGTTCTGTGGGCCAGATCAGAATCTGCACATCCTGGTTGCCCAGGTCTCTCCGTGTGGTGACCACTGATTCAGAATATTCAGTAACGATGGCCAGTCCACTCTGAAAATTCTCCGATACGAATAATAAATTACTTGGGCAAACTAGTTCTTAGTGATGTTTGTAGAATTCCGTCTTGGTGATAATGATGTGACTGGTAAATTCTTTGTTGGACAGCTGTCCTGTGCATTAAAGCATATTGAGCAGAATTCCTGGCCTCTACCCACCAGATTCCAGTACACCAGGTGAGTATAAAGTATCTCCAGACATTGCTATATGACCCCAGGGCGGAGGAAGCAGGGATAAAATCACTCCTAGTAGAAAAATCATTGTGTTAGATGATAGTCACTCGGCCCAAACGCTTTCCACCATCTTCCTGAGAGGCTGCCTGTGAGCCCCTGACAACCAACTCCCCAGACATAACTTCTCTATGTCACAGATTGTCCCCTCTTTCCATATACCCTCCCAGATCCTCCATCCCTAAACCTCTTGGAAGGGTACCTAGCTGATGATAAGAAATGGGAAGGTACATACCATGACCCCGTGTGAACTATCAGCCCCACAGGGACTGACCCCTTCTTACCCTATGAGGACAATTCTTTCATCCAATAGTGCTTATTGAGAAAGTTCTAAGGGCTAGGCACTTGAGGACTTAGCGGGGGGGGGGGGACTGAAGAGCAAAGCTTCACACTAAGTTGAAATGGATCTTAAGTTAAGATGGGCTTTAGATCCAGCCCAGTGAACAACACCTGCACTTTCAAGTTCTGTTCTTTTTCCAGAGAGAAGGGCCTGGAAACCAGAGGACTTTGGGTACTCATCCTGCTTCTAGGGCTTTCTATTTGCCCTGAGACCAGTCACTCTGACTCTAAACCTGTTTTCTCATATGCAAAATGGAGGCGGCGGTGAATATGAGCGGCCTTATACAAACTAGTCCTGCAACTCTGAGGATTTGAGTATAATTCAACCTGTTCCTCATGTTCTGGGTAGACACTGGCTAGTGCAAGGGACACATTCCAGAAATGTTCATATCGGTGAGGTTCTTGCAGAAAAACATGCTGTCAGAAATAAGCTGTTCGTCTGCATTATTTCAAATAGAATTAGGATTTTTAGACACCTGAACACCAGTTTCAAACTGACCCGCCTTTCCTGAGTATCCAGCTCTGACTGGTCTGGACTAAACAGGTGGTCTCTGTTCACCTGACATTAAGGGCATCAGAAGAACAAAGGTAGTGCTGGGAACATGGGAAAAGAAAGGGAAAATGTGACATATTTAGAATGAGGAAAAAAACAGAAGATTTACCCAAAATCAGCTTTGATTTTCAAGACAAGGAGTCAGCAATGTGATGCTATTGCTGGGGACAATGGCTGGGAAAGGGGCATTGTGAGGGAAGGGGAGCAGGATGATGGACAGCAAGGTGGCATATTAGAAAGAGATAGGGAGGGCTTGCTTAGGCTTCATGCGTTTGCTTTTCTTCTCTCTTACCTACTAGAAGGAAGGAGGAAGTAAGAAAGAGGGAAGGAAGAGAAGGAGGGGGAAGTAGTGAGGGAGGGGGAAGACAGGAAGACAGAGCAAGGGGGAAGGAGAGAAGGGGCGTGAGAGAGATTTTGAAACTGAGACCTAATACTAGATCCAGGCAAGGCTACCAACAAATTACTTAATTTCTCCAGACCAAAATCTTCCTATCTGCCACACGAAGATGTAATTCAGAGAAGAGCTTGGAACTTGGGTTCACCTTATTTCCTGGTTAGCAGGACTTCTAGGCACACTGTGTGGTGGGTTTTGAGGCAGGGTCCACGTCTCCCATGAATTAACATTAGTTCTGGCTCCCTGGCCATCTATTTGCTAACGCCAGTCTGTTGCTCCCTGGGCCCTTTCCCATGCTGGGAGCTGTAGTCCCGTGCCTCCTGCCCTCCTGGCCATTTTCTGCCACCTGTACAGCTTCTTCATCTAGGCTGTCTAGTGTATATAGAGTTCCCGGCCACGCCCCTCAGGCCACGGTTTAACCCACGATCTCTATCAGTGGGGCCTCACCCCATGAATGCCAGCTCTTGCAAAAGAACCCATTAGTCTCTGTCCCCCATTCAGGGATCAGAATCTTCATTTCTCCTCAGTTACCTGATTTTCTCTCAGCAAGAAAGATTTCTGAATCAATGGCCCAAAAAGACCACTGAAGACTTCCCCTAATAAAACCTGGCCCTCCTGGAAAGCCAAACGGGACACCGCCCTACGCAAACAGTACCTTCACAGACTGTCTCAATAGCCCCACAAAACTCTCTGCTTCCATTTCTTTTATTTAAAGAAATATGTATTTGTTTCTGTATTCTATGTCTAGGGGTGTTTCGTCTGTATACGCATCCTCACACCAGAATAAGACCCCACAGGACTGCAGTGATAGAAGGTTATGGGCCACCACGTGGGTGTTAGGAACTGAACTCAGGCCCTCTGCAAGAGCAGCGAGTGCTCCTTTTTGCTGAGCGTCCCTCCAGCCACTCTGCTTTAGCTTCCGAAAGAACAAGATTCTGTAGTGTGGGAATGCAGCTGAGCAGAGCACTTGTGTGGCTTGAATTTAATGCCCAGGATTGGAAACAAACAAACCAATCAACAACAACAACAAAGTCTTTCAGAGAGCCAAAATCTTGAACCACATCAGGCGTGGTGATTCACGCCTTTAATCCCAACACTCAGAGGCAGGCAGGATCTCTGTGAGTTCCAGGCCAGCCTGGTCTACAGTGAGCTCCAGGTCCACCAGAGTGACATAGTGAGAACCTGTCTCAAAACAAGAAATAAAACAACAACAGAGAACCTTGAACAATCTACGAAACAAAACAACAGAAGCCACCGGTTGGAGATGGACACACCCTCTGGCCAGACACACCCTCTTCCCCATTCTGTTTTGGAGGCTCTTCACAACCAACGTCTCTTTGCTATCCAATTCCACCTCCTTGGCACTTCCAATGGGGGCCTCTTTTTAAAATGTTGACATGGGCATCAACACAGGTTGGCAGGCTACAAAGCGGGGTTCTCTAGGAAAATTCTGGAACCCCAGAGCTCTTGGTAACTATTTTAATCAGGGGAAGACTGCAGGAGCAGAAAGCTACCGGCTAGAGGAAGGAATCCAGAGGGGGAGAGGTGATTTTAGACTATAGCATCTGGCCCCTTTGATGTCTGCCCTCTGTGCAACCCCCTTTCAATGCCTTATCTTGTTCTGAGAGCAAGGAGAATTTATGGCAACCCAGAAATCTCTTTGGCAGGACTAAATATAATTTGTCCAGCAGGATGGAGGAGGATCCCAGGTTCCTTGATGATAAAAACCTAACTGCAGCTTTCCCATCCCCTGAGCTGAAGTCAGCCTCAGAACAGCAAGGACAAGGATGTCCTTGATGTCGCTGTCCCGGCCAGTGGGTTGGAATCCAACAGGCGGCCGGGTGGGTAGGTGGGTGGTGGTGTTTTAAAGGGGACTACCGGGAACTGAAGGTAAATCCCACTATTGCCCAAGTGCTAGTGTTTCCTGTTTTTTGACTGAACCAGAAAAAAAAAAGCCGAGGCTCAGAGAACAGTCATTCTGGAGACAACACTCACAGAACCCAGGGAGAAGAAGTCTGTGAAGCAGGTAAAGGAGGCTCAGCAGGTGGCAGGGTCACAGAGAGGAGGGGACTGGGAAGATCCAGGCAGGATGGAGCTGGCTAACTTCAGAAGGAGAACTCCTGACTCTCCCTCCCATCCTCCTTTCAGGCAGAATATCCTGGGAATGCCTTGCTCTCTGCCTCCTCCTCTTTCTCGCAGGTTTAGCCCTTCCCCTGGTTGGTAGGTTAAAGTTCCCGGGCTCCTAAGCTTAGTCCGTTTCTAACATTCCTCCACCCCTACATATTCTCGCGACCTCATGAGGACTCAGTCAAGCGATGGACCCATTTTGGGCCCATTTTGGCCAGCCCTCAGGAAGGAACAATCTGCACCGGTCCCCTGAACTCAGCTTAAACACTAGCAGTCACCTGCTTTGTCCCTAAGCGGAAGATCTGGGCTTGGCTCTCTAAACTCCAGCCCTCACTTGCTTCTTGCTCTTGGATCCCTGGATCCCAGATCCCACAAGCCTGTTCACCCTAGGCTCTTCTTACAGCCTTTGCCTCAATACTACATTTTAACACTGTGGCCAGCCATTCAGGAGTGATCAGGTCACAGATCAGATCACAGCCTAGCTGGGGGATCACCTGGCTGAGGGTCTTCTAAAATACATATTTGGTTACCTAATGCCTGGGTGACCAACCACCTGGTATCTGTTGTCAGCTGCTTTAGCCCATGGACTGGATGACCTCCTAGTCCGGTAGCTGACTTGGAGGGCATGTCCACTAAATAAACAGACAAGAGAAGCATCAGCCCTGATTATACGTATTGACAGGGTTACTTCCAACTTTAAAAGGTGATAGAATGGGAGAAAGTGTGGGGCTTTGGGGCGAGGAAGTCTGCCCTAGGCTGTTCTAACTATAAGCTGTAATGCAGCCTGTGTCTCGGGGTGGTGGTGGCACATGCCTTTAATCCCAGCGCCCAGGAGGGAGAGGCAGACACATCTCTGAATCCAAGACCAGTCTAGTCAACTCGGTGAGTTCCAGAACAGTTAGTGTTACACAGAGAAAACCAGTCTCAGAAAAAAAAAAGAAGAAAAGAAGAAAAGAGAAGCCTGTGTCTGTGACGATTTGTCTATACTTCCGGCTACTGTCTGTCCTTCTCTCTCAGCCAAGACTCTGCAGCTCACACAGGAATGGCAGACCTGCTCTGGATCACGTGCCTGTTACCCTCCACGTCCCAGCCTCTCATCCCCATGAGGCAAACAAGCGAACCTTGCTCTGCAGCCTCTGTGCCCCTACAAGCACAGAACATCTCTTCCCCCCTCCTCCAGCTCCCATTCTGTGTCCTCCGGCTGACATGATTTCACCCAGCTCACAGGTTTGTGCCTTTTAATCACTCTGCTCGAAACAAATGAGCCATCTCTGCTGACTTCACTCTCCTGAAATTTCAGACCCCAAGTCAACACTTTCTCCCTTTCTTCAGACTTCTTAACCGCTGCCTCTCCGCCCTCACATTGCCCGTCTCCCTCACAGGGGTGCGTGGATGCACAGGGAAAGGAAAAGCCACCAGCTGTCAGACAATAGAACATGCTAAGCCGGGACTTAGGTCACAGGGCCTTCAGAACCGCTGAGGCAGTGGGAGCCAGAGTCACACTGCGGCGGCTTCTCAAGCCTGTGGGCCTCTGGAGGCAGCATTCTTGCTTCAGACGGAGCTACTCCGCTCTGGTTGGGACACTCGGCGTTGGCAAAGGCTTTCATTTCAAATTGCAAGGAAGATGTAGACTATAAGAAAACTACTGGTCCAGATGGCCTAGACTGCCCAACTCTGCGCTGTCCCTGACCGAGTCTCCCTGCCTCCCTCATCACCTCTCAAGGTGACGGGACCAGGGAGCAGGAGACGAAAGCATGCCCTCTGTCATGAAATGCCCAGACTCAGATGGAGACATCTCTCTTCACACAGGAGGCTTCCAATACTCTGTTGGAAAGCAGCTCACTTCTTTTCTTGGTTCTGGGACACCCCCACCCCAGGGCCCCCACTATAAAAGTCAGTCAGATATCTCAAGACTTTTAGCTGTCTCTGCCTCTGCCCAAACCCCACTTGGATGCTTTCTGACATTGCTCAGGTCCTGACTTGTTGCGATAATGTCCTGTTTGGAAGATCCAGTTGGGATCAAACACACGAGAGGTCAGCCTTTATTCTGTTCCCATCTGGAGATTGTAGTTAGACCCCTCTTCCCCTTGGACTGTTTCCTTTATCAGGATATAGAGGTTTGCTCCAGACGTCCTTAGCCTACTTCAGGCCTTAAGCCAGAACAAGAACCTCAGCACCTTCAGCTGGGAAGCTGTGCCAGTCACCAAAACTGAGGGAGGCCTTCAACGAATGGTGCTGACACTCCCCGGGCGTGGAGCGGGCCACAAATGGTGACCTTTTCTCCCTCCACATTTTGTCTTTGTTTCTTTTTGAACCTACTTTTAAAAAGTTTACATTTTACAGCACCTAGCTCCTTTGTATGCGTCCCTATTTTCTCATAGGCTTTTGAAGTGATGTCTCCCACTTGCTGGAACCCCCAAAATGACTGTTTTTGATTCCTAACTTCTCCCAAAAGGAAAGAACCATGTGATGAATAAACTAGAGATTAGGGTGGCAGTGGGCTAGATTTGGGCTAAAGATGGGACTAGCCTCAGACCAGAGGACTTTGGGATGGCCTTGATGAGCTCCCTCCCACCCCACGACACGACAGAGCCCGGGACCTCCCTGTCGTACCTGAGAGGAGGGCCTGGCCCGTGAACTGCCCGTACACGGAGGCAGCATGGGGAAAGGCATTGAAGGGTGGGACCGAGGCACCTGCTGGGCCCCCAGAGCCGACTTGCTGCAGATCCAAAAAGGCGGAGCTAGATAAAGAGGAAGGGGTGGAGCTAGAACTGGAGAGCTCTGGGGTTTCCTGCTTTATGGCGAAGGGTGAATGAGGATCTGCCGGAGGGAGGGAGACAACAAGGAGAGAGGGGTGTGAGATGATGGGGCGGGAACATGCACAAATCAAGCCATGAGATGGGCCGAGGGGGTGGGGACAGGCAGGCCTGGCTGCTGTAGGAGGAGACTAGGATGGGGAGCCAGGGCTACACGGTGTTCCTCAGATGGAATGAGATGGGGGAACTGGAGGCTCTACCGCCCTGCTGCGCCACCTGCCGGTGTAGATGGATGGGGCAACTGAAGTATGTGTGTACTCAGCCTCTCCCTGCAAGAGGGAGTGAGGAAATCCAGGGGGGCCAAAGACCGAAGGCACCTTCCCTTTGTTCCACTTTGAGGCCCAGTCAACATAACCCACTTCCTATCCAGGTCAGCACCCCAAACACCTTCCTCCTGTCAGCCAGACACTTCTGCCTTCCCCTGCCCCAAGCCCATCCTGACCCTCACAGCAGGGTCCAGATGACTCAGGAGCCTCTGGGCATCCTACCTGCCACCACCGGGTAGGTCTGGTGAGTCGAGAGGTTGCGTCCCAAGGGTGTATTGGAAGGTGTCAGGGTGGCCTTCCCATCATCCAGGGCACTGTTGAGTAAGGGCAGTGGGTACAGCCCCTGAAGAACAAAGAGAAGTCATCAGCGGGGAGCGAGGCCCCTGAGCAATCCTGTCTTCCTTCTGGCCCCACTGCCTGTCTCTGAACTGGGCGGCCCCAGTCTCCCCAGGAAAAGCTCCCTGCTCATTGTGCCTTCCTTCTTGTTCACTCTTAGCTCAACACGGCATGTTTGATGGGGTCATAGTCTCCTGCTCAAAGACCTGAAAACTCTTCAGGAGCTGGCTTGGAGTTCCCCTTCCAAGCTTCAGAATAAAACTCAAGGCCTATGGGCAGCATAGAAATCCAGGTATGTGATGGCGGCAGCCATCAGAGGATCATGTCCTGATTGGCTGCTGCTGTCCTTCGTACCTCTTCATATGGTTAGGACCCATAAACAGGACATTGTCTAGGGCTGGAGCAGGGAGCGGGTGGGGCTGCTCAGAGACTCTCCATCTACCAATAACTGATCTGACTTAGGTAAGAAAGGCAAGTGCAGAGCTGAAGACACTCCCGCCTTCCCTGGGGGGTGGGGGGTGAAGCAAGGATTCCAGCTTCGGAGCTCACACTACCAACTGCTGCCCCAGACTGATGGCAACGATCACTCCTTATCCTTGCTCATATTTGGGCTTTGCTGCTCTCGTTCCTGCTGAGCAACCCAGCGATATGAGCCAGTAAGACTATGTCAGATTTGCATTACACGCGCAAGTAACAAACATTTAGTTTGGCCATGAAGGATGCACAGGATTCATTGTGTTTCAAGAATTCTATCAAGTACCTGGGGTCATCTTCAATAAGAGCTTGTTTCGACTCCTCCTGGTGTTCCCTGGTATGAGATGGCTCAGACACTCTTTGAGAAAATAATTTGCTAGGCTAAAGACATGGGCATAGCCTACCAGCCCCTTGGCTCCCTGATGCCCTTCCCAGGGAAAGACAGCTCACATCCACTGCACACACCCAGGTCGTGTTGTGCAGCTCACAAAAGCACTATATGAACTGTTGTATGACTGGAATCAAGGAGTGTTCCCTGGTTACATAACAGTTCTGCTGATGACAACTGCTTTCTGTAATTTCCACTGAGCTCAGTTCTCCAAGGAGTCACAATGCTTTCTGGTTGCACGCAGGGCACTTTTGGAAGCTGCAGTCAATTCTGGAGGCCACCAGGGCACCATCAGCATGTAGCAGCAATTACGGACTAAACGGCACTCTGGCTCCATTCTTCCAAGGGGGCCTACTTAGAGGCAGGGTGGAGTTGCTCAGAGTCGGATTCTAATGAAACCAAACAAAACACCTAATTTCTAGAGAATGTAAGAAAAGTTGGAAATGTCTTGTGAATGTGTGGATTTGACAGTAAAACACTCACTTAAAATCAAACTTCTGTTCCAAATTCAGGCCAAAGGGGAAAGGAAAGCTAAGTAGCTAGAGATTTGGGTGATGTTGCGTTTAACATCTTAAACATGCTGGTGATGACTGGATTATTTTTTCTGGGCTTGAACTCAAATTGGGGGCAGGAGAGCATAATGATTCAGAACTGAAATGACTTAGGGTCTTGATTCGGCAACAATCTGTCGGAAATTGTGGTCTGTTTAAACTCTCTGAGCCTTGGGTTTTTTTTTCCTCCCCTACCTTTAAGGATGGGGTCCTAGAATCTACTGCACAAGATTGATTAAGTATTAACTGTAATTTTAAATAAAGTGTTGCTTGGCCCAGAATACTCAGCAAGCACAGATGTTCATTCAGCAAGAAGTGATGATAGATGTATTTTACTATGATAGGAAAAGTCACTAGCTGCCACATTCTTGGCCTGTCTTCAGAACAGTCTCCCTCATTCTGTCAACTTACATGGTGATGGACTTAAAATATAGAGGAAGAGCTACACAATTCCTAGCAGCACCCAGGGGTGACACTCCTATGAGAAATGAGGTCACTTTCGCCCTCACTGGTTTTTCAGAGGAGAAGTGTATGTCTTTGTCTCATACAAAGACCAGGTATGAGCATCTGCTTTTACCTCGTCTCCCAAGGACGCCAAGCTTTATGTGCCTGGATGAAAGACCACGTTCCTTTGGGTGGCACAGACACAATACTCAGAAGAGCGAGGCTCAACCTAGGGGCTTTCTGCCCCTCACAATCCAGCCTGATGAGTCAATGAAGGCCGGAAGGAAGAGCTGAGGGACACTGGGCTGGGCTTCACTTTACTCCTTGAGGTTGAGGGGTTAGAGAGATTTAATGACTTTCAAATACTCTTGTTTTATTTAGTCTTTACATAAGAACACTATGGCACACACCATTAATCCCAGCACTTGGGAGGCAGAGGCAAGCGGATCTCTGTGAGTTTGAGACTAGCCTGGTCTACAAAGCCAGTTTCAGGACAGTCAAGACTACACAGAGAATCCCTGTCTCAAAAAAAAAATGAAATTCATGGAATTGCCATGTCAAACATTGGTAAGGAAGGACAATTCATATGAATGAAACTAGGGTTGGCAGCTTTAAACTCTGCAGTCATCGGCTTCCCCAAGTCCTCGCATGCTCCAGGTCCTGAGTAATCCTCATGTAAGCTGAAAAGGTAGGCTGTGTGGCCACCAAGTCTCCTGTAGTTCTATGAGTCTCTCATCCAAGATCCTCCATGCACACCCATCAGCATGGCCCAAGGGCTCACTCTAACCACATAAGGTCCTTTGGAGGACTTATGGATGAAGCCAGGAAATGGCTCTAGGACCTAGTAGATACCAGGGGTCTCCTCAGTAGGGCTTCATTCTTCTCCAAGGGAAACTAGTATAGGCACATTGCATTTTGCTGGCTCACCACCATAGAACAAGCTTCCCGCAGGCTCAACACTTACCCCCTGGAGCCATGCTCTGATTCTCAACAGTGCACCCAGGCCCTCTGCCTGGGTCTGCTGATAGCCAACTTTGTCTACACTGTTCACAGACTGTCATAGCCAAGGCTGATAAAAATCACTGACGCATATTGCCTACCCAGCTGTGGGGGTTGGCGCAGGGCCAGCAGCCCAGCCACTCACTGGCAATGTTTCAACTGCTTGTTAGCATCAGCATTGTCTCCCTCAGGTCTTAAAGGTGTACTTATAGGCTTGCCTCAAGCCAAGAGGACAGATAGGTCATACCCCGAAGAGTTTCCTGAGCTATTCGAGTAAATGGGAGGAAGGGAGACAGACTTTGGAACCATTGACATATTAAACGTATCTCAGTAACATAATCATTAGCACTATGAGGTATTTGTTGGCCTCAGCGTGGAAATATTCATATCTCTGTCTGCTTTGTAGAGAAGCTATCCTATTATAACCCATTTCTCCATGTCTAAGATCTGGAGAGAGAAACCCCCTGTAGCTTGTGTCTTTAGTGTTCTTGATTTCTCACTTGATTCACTGGTTCATTCGTTTGATATACCTTTGTGGAGTAGCCATTAAAATCCTGGGCTTGGGATGTTACTCAAAGGGAGAGGGCTTGTTTCATGTGTGTGTGCGCGAAGCCCTGGTTTTGATCTCCATCACCATAGGAAAGGAAATAATAATGAACAATAACAATGCTAGACTCTAGAGGCAAGAGTGGGGTGGCTCAAGAGGCCACCCTGTCCTTAAGACCCCTACCCATGAGTTTATTAGGGTGAACTGTGAAGTCAGTAGAAGCCATGTGTGTGAGACAGGAAGGATGACAGGGGCCAGAGCCGTGAGTCACAGGTGGGGGCAGGGACAAATTCGTGGAAACGGAGATTGAGCTGAGTCATTGCAACCAGCTGGTATTTTTCCAGGTAGCGCAGCGAGAAGAAAGGCTTCCTGCAAGGAGGGCACATGGTGTACCAGGGCAGAGAGGTGTGAATGAGGTCAGTGTACTTGAGCACATGAGTCACCCAGAATCCTGGGCTACGTAAAGGGAGAGACTGGAGGTGGGACTAGGTGTGGCATTGAGGTCATCATAAAAGGGTGTGAGCCTTAACTCCAACTATGGGTCTGATCCTATTGTTGGAGAGAGCCATGGATGGCAAAAGGAGCCCTGCACCCAAGAACTAGGTTCAGAGTTCAGTTTCGGGTTGGGAGAAGAGGGCATCAAGACATCTTGCGAATAAGGCATGCATGCGGCTGGACACTGCATCAAGTGTGTGCCCTGAGCCCCTAGGAGCAATTTGGACTTGCTTTGATGGCTAGAGTTCATGCTTTGCTCTTGTCCTTGCCTAACCTGCCTATATTCTGCCCCCCACGTTCTCACCTGCTCGCCTTTGGTGTGGCTGGGGGAGGCGTAGGCCTCCGAGTAGTGCTGCCGCTCAAACGGGCAGTCGAGCGGCTCGAGGTGGTGCTGGCTGAAGGCGTCCGTCCGAAGGTGCTTTCGGGGACCGCTGCTGCTGCTCTGTGAGTCGATGCTCAGCCGACAGCTGTCCTGGTCACCTAGTGCCCCCCGGGCAGGCAGGAAGAAAGCTTTCAGGGGACCCCTCTACCAAGTCACCAAAGTGGCCAAAGCAGAGGAGCAGACGGGCTGAGGAGGTAGGGGAAGGGCCAGCAAGAGGAAGGACCCATGTGAGTAGGGAGTGTCAGAACCCTACCCAGTCCTGGGACAAAGGAAAGCCTTCTCTTCCTATTAAAGCTGGAGCAGAGTGGTATCCTGTGTCTCATATCACCCACAGGTTCCCCCAAGAACTCACTATCATCCATCTTTCTCTTGTTGTCACCGCCAGGCTGAGCGATGCCCAGGAGCCCGTTGATAGAATAGGTAGAGCCCAAGGAATCCGACTGGGGTGACTCTGGGGGTGTTACGGCTGAGCTGGGGACTGCAAAGGAAGGAGAAGGGTCAGAATGGGAGACGATGCTCCCCACAGCCCCTGTTGCCACCATAGGTTCAAAGCCGCAGGCCATGCTGTGGCCAGAGGCCCTGGAAAGCTAGAGCCTTTCACTTCCATGGGCCTGCTAGTGCGAGGGGTTCCTAGAATGATATTTGTCTGAAGTGTGCCCATTCCCCATGTTCCTGTGAGTCTCCCAGGAGCGTGGAAATAGACTTGATCTCAGGGTCATAATTCAGTCCGCGTACAAACATAGGAACAATCGTATGTTTTCGTGTGTTTGTATGTGTCTGTGCCTACATGGGTGTGAAGACTGGGTCTACATTCAAGGGTTTGGGAACAGCCAAATCCCTAAACACTCACTCAGTGTGTGTCCTGGGCTCAGAGACTTGCTGGCCACGCAGCTGTCCATGGGGAGGTTGAAAGGTTGCTGCACTTTGGTTCGGATGATTCTGTGAGGGAGCAGAAGGCTTGTTAGAGAAAGAGGATGAACTAGGAGCGGTGGCTCTCCAGGATCCTGTCGCCATGACAACCCAATTAGATGTCTTCTGTGTGTGTCTTCAACTCAACAGTCGACCATCAAACTAGGACCGCACCTCATTCTTCATACCTCTTTCTCCGTGTCATGTGTACTCGAAACATGGAGCTCTCAAGGCAGAAATACAGAGGTGGCTTAGCAGGGTTTGTAGATTTGACCTGGATAGCCTCCCCGGAATTGACCCTGTTCTGTATCTCATTGTTAACACCTGAGTGTGGGCCGCCATCTGCTCTGTCCTTCTAGAGTCCCGGAGTGACCCACCCCACATATTCTATCTAATCCGTTTCAGTCGAGGGAGCTCTTTCAAGTACAAATAAGCTTCCTGCTTAAAACACACTAAAAGAAGCCCACCGTGCATGCTTTAAAGGTGGGAATCTGTTAAGGTGACCACAGACTTCTTGGGGACAGCTTCTTCTGCCACCTTATGCTCAGAATACGTCAGGTGCTTCTTGTCTCTTGACTGACTTGCTTTCATCTCCTGCGCAAGCTCTCCTTAGCCGCGGGCTTCCGTAAGTAGTTGCTGAGTTTGCCTGGCAACGCTTTCCACCTAGTTAAATCCCACTCACGGCTTCTTACTTAGGGAAAGACCTTCACGATTTCCCGAAAACAAGTTACCATAGGCTCTCCCTCATGTCGTCAGGCTCCTAGCCCCTGCCGGACAAGTAGCTGCATTTTTGCATTGTCTTTTTTGGGTACCCTGTGTCTGTGTTCCCATTAGATTGCAAACTCCACAAGGACAGGGATTTTGTGTTCTGGGAACTAAAACGGAATAAATGAATGAATTATACATGAGTGAATGGGTGAGTACATGAAGGATGGAGGCAGGGAGCAAATGATTGAAAAAGTGACCAAGTGACCAAGTACTCCAATGAGGGCCAGGAAGGGATCTACTCAGGAAGCTCCTTCCACACAGTACAAGAGAATAGGGTGTTTAAGGAAGGAAGCAGGATACAGCACAATATAGTGTGGGGACAGAGGGAGGCTCCATAGCATGAGCAAGAGAGGGTTGGGAGAGGTGACATGTGCCAAACCCGGGAGCTCCTCCCTGATTCCTCAAAGTGAAGCCTCTTCCAAAACCCCTACTCTACCCAGGCCATTCGCGTCTCTTACAGGAATCTTCCAGAGCCTTGGGGTCTAGGAGGGCACCGGAAGCTGCTGCCTCTCACCTGTTGATGGAGCTGACACTGGGCACGGTGTCATTGTCACAAACGCCTTCTGCCAGGAGCCGGTCCCGGATCTCCCAGGCAAACATGGTAGGGTTCTGCCGCTTGTAGTCCCCTATCTTCTCCACCACCTTGGGGGTGGCCACCTTGGGCTTGGAGCCCCCTATCACTCCAGGCCGGATGCTGCCAGTCTCGTAGTACCTACTCCAATAGAGAACCCCCCCAAAATTACCCGATAAGCAGGTGGGGCCTTTAAATAGGAACCTGGTCAGCACTTCTGACCCCTTTGGATCTCCCAAAGAGAGGTGTGGGAGTGAGACAGGCCCCTCCCCCAACACTGGATTTCTCTCCCACAATCCACTTCACTTGTGTGGGTAGATATATGCTGCTACCAAAGCAACACCCCTCTGCAAAGACTTCATCCTGGGTTCTCCGTCTTCTTCCTCTGGCCACATCAGGAAGCATGCAAAGATCTCCCTTGTAAGAAAGGACACTGGGTCCAGGCAGTGGTGGCACACGCCTTTAATCCCAGCACTCAGGAGGCAGAGACAGGCAGATCTCTGTGAGTTCAAGGGCAACCTGGTCTACAGAGTGAGTTCTTTTTTTTTCTGGGTTTTTTGAGACAGGGTTTCACTGTAGCTTTGGAGTCTGTTCTGGAACTTGCTCTGTAGACTGGCCTCGAACTCACAGAGATCCGCCTGCCTCTGCCTTCCAAGTGCCGGGATTAAAGGCGTGCGCCACCACTGCCTGGCCCAGAGTGAGTTCTAGGACAGCCAGGACTGTTTCACAGAGAAACTCTGTCTCAAAACAAGAAAGAAAGGAAGAGAGAGAGAGAGAGAGAGAGAGAGAGAGAGAGAGAGAGAGAAAAGAAAGGACACTGGAGAATCACAAGCCTGCAGAGTTTCTTTCCTCCCACCCACCTTCTCTTAGCATAGTTAATTCCGCTCCTTTGCCCTCCTGGCCTCACCAGGGAAGCCAGCTGGAGTCCCTGACCCCTCTACTTTCTTGCTGGGTCACCTTTGTCCTGTCCAAGTCTGAGCTGTCCCCTCACCCTTTGCCCTCTGGTTTTCTACCAGGTTCCATGGTTCAAGTTGAAGCCGCTTCTCCCAGACTCTAAAGTCCAGCCTCACTTGGAATCCTTGGACTGATTCAGCCCCTGAAGATGAGCCTCCTCCTCCTCCTCCTCCAGAACCTATCCACCTCCCAACTAGCTGACTGACAGATCCGTGGCTTGGTCAGGATGCCCTCTGGTCTCCTGTGGTCTTCTTTGGTCTCTTCTACCAATGAATAAACGCCATTGTCATCACCACTCAGAGCTCGTCTCCTCTCTGGGAATCTGCAATCATCTGACTAATACTCTCTCTTTGGCCCTAAGAAAAGGCCTCTCTCTTCCCCCTAATAATTTCAGGCAGAAAGCCAAGGCTCTCTATGGTCCATTAGCTCAGACCCTTTACTTCCTTGAAGTCGAGTTTGCCTTAAATCTGCATAGGGTCAGTGTGTGATGGGTTGGGGAGTAAGGTGGACAGGACATGGAACTTTGGAATTTCCAAATTCTCTACTTAAGGATATTTCCGACACAAGGGTCACAGGCTTTGATAGCCCTTGTCCTTCTGAACCTGTGCCCTGTGGTTAGAATCACGCGAGTGAGGCGGAGGCTACGGATATACATGAATGAGTCCATTCCCTCCTATTGTCTGTGCTGGAATCCAGACCCTGACCTTCTTATTTATTGTGAGGCTTTAGAGTTCCCCGGCACAGCCAGGGCTGTGAGCCACCACGCAGAGCCTTCCAGATTAATGCTTCTCATTCCTCCCCATTTCTGAGTTTCCTGGACATCTTACAAAAGCCACAGGCCTGGCCGAGAAGCTGACTTCAGTAGGGCTGGGCTGTGAATTTTATCAAGCGCTCTCGTGGCTTCTCTGACAGACTCTCTGAAAGTTGTGTCTTGAAACACGTAAGATCGCATGGTACGTGGCCCGCAGCGCTGAGGTTGGCCAGAGAAGGCAAGGCTTGTGGGGAAAGGTGGTGTGTGGTCAATCTCGTGCTTACCTGCCAAGGATCTTGCTGACACAGCCATGGCTGACACGGAGTTGGCGCGAGATATCACAGGGCCTCACGCCCTGGTGGGCCAGGTCCACAATGCGTTGCCGGACAACTTCCGGCAGAGGCCTGCCATTCACAAAGGCCCCTCCTAACTGATTCAGCCCTCCGTGGCCTGAAAAGACAGGATTGTCAGAGACAATTGTCAGAATCAGTTGCTAAATGTTGGGTGAGACGCAGCCGTGAGTAGAAGGACCGCGTGTGACCATGTCTGGGCACTCCACGGTCAGTTCCACCAGCGCTCCCTCCACGTGCTCCACCTTGCTGAGAAACACGCCTTCTGGGAAGACTGGCACAAGTGGGATAAGCAGCTCATCCCATCTGGCATGTGAGGACTCAAAAGGAACACATCTCTTGTCTGGTGACCTGTTAGATCTGCTCCATGTCCTCCAGAGCCCAGCCCTTTACATCAAGCCAAGTTCTGTCAGTGTTCTCTTTCTCCCATTTTTCTCCATCCGCAGACACGAAAGGAGAGAAGGAGTCAGGCTTTTCTTAAGTTGATACACTCAGCTCACTGAGTGACACTGGAGAAAATATCTCTCCTCCCCCTGAAGTTCCTTTTCTTTTCATTAAAATGAAGGCGCAGGATGAGACAAGCCGTCTTTCCCTTTGTCTTCCGCCTCTTAAACTGCAGAACCTTTTTTCCCCCTTGGTTTTTCAAGACACGGTTTCTCTGTGTAGCCCTAGCTGTCCTGGAACTCACTCCGTAGACCAGGCTGGCCTCAAACTCACAGAGATCCTGCTGTCTCTGCCGCCCGAGTGCTGGGATTAAGGTTGTACGCCCCCTCACCCAGCTATAGAGCCATATTTTGTAACAAGAACACAAAAGAAGTGCAGGAAAGAATATCTGGCTGAGGCAGGTCAGAAGGATCTAGGCCCTGTCTGTGGCTGTCTCGCCTGGGCAACTCCAAGTTTTCTTCCCTCTTTGACAGGCCAGAGAACTGAAAACAGCAAACAGAGACCTCACTAGGAGACATCCCATGAGTCCAGTAGCCTCATGTCAGGCTGGGGTGGAGGCAGTAGAGTAAGTACATGGCAAGCCAAGCCTTAGCTGCTTCCCTGATTGACCTCTCCCCTCTAGACTGAGTCTGTACTTCATTCTGATCACACACAGCTAGTCAGAGTCGTATCTACTGAATGCCTAGTGCGTGACAGGTGCTTTAGCAGGTTCTGAAGTTCCAAGGTAAATACAGCCATCTGCATACTTGCACCCACCTGACAGGGCTTATTACAGCAGGGGCCTAGACCAGCTAATCAGCATTCCTCATGACCTTTCCTGGAATCTCCTGCTCAGAGAGGTAATTACTGAATCCGTAGACTCGGCCAGAGACGCACAGAGGGGTTCTCAGAAAAGTTCAAGCTGAGACTCATGAGAAAGAAGCGCTAGATGAGAGAAAGGAGATCCTGCCTGAGTCACGGGAATAGCACAAGCAAAGGTTCTGAGGTTGAAAGGGTGGGAGTCTGTGAGATTTGCGATGCCTTCAACTCTACGATCCACAGCGGGTTAGTTTCAGAGCTGAGAAGTCCAGTTTCCAGAAGACCGCAAAGAGCTTTTCAGTGGCTTGATTGAGTGGAATGACTCAGCTCATGTGAAAAGCAGCCAGGATCCAAACAAAGCTTAGGACTCCAAGCCTTGCTGCCGCTGTATGGATCCTTGATTGACAGCTGGAGCTGACCTTGTCTCTGCAACCTTAGGATGACAGTGACTTTGCCTAGGCATGACTAGCGTCTTTTCACACCAAGGACTGGATCTGGCCATCTAGCTTAGCATGGGAAGGTCTAAGAACTCTAGAGGTTGGTCGAGCAGAATGAACTGAGCCCAAATGCTCAGGACTCCCTGAAGCTTACTGCAAAGCAGCCAGTATTGTGCAGGGAGTCACAGCAAGTCAGCTGTAAGAAGGGAAAGTTGACACCAGGCCAGTGTGACCAGTTAACGATATGTATGGACAAGGGTAGGAAGTGTCTTTGCTGGGCACACTGTGCCCATTATCACCCACTGACTTAGCACATTCGAAACCACCTCCCAATTCCTCCTCAGGGACTCATAATGTCTTCAACAGAACAGATAATTTCCCTTGAAACAAACAAACAAACAAGGTCAAAAACCTCTGTCCCAGGCATTAAATCAAGAGGAAAAATGCACTGGCTACACCCCAAGCATGGGGGACATGGCAGTTCATCTTCCAGGCACAGCTTCTGCCTGTCCTGTTCCAGGCCACCTGCCCCAGTGAATACTTTTACTTGAATTGTACAATGTCTCAGGGACTTTCAGTCCAGCCCAGGCGATGGACAATATGGCTCTTGTCTGCTCTTGAACTTGTTCCTCTGACCCCTCACTGGCTATGCTGCCCTTAGTGGAGAAATTGGCCCTCACTCCCTCATCGTTGCCTTTTGACTCCTTGGGGTTTGGACACCGAACACCAGAGCACATTAGACAGCTATGTACAAGACTGTTGGCAGGTCTACTTCGTCCCCACGTTCCAGAATTTTTACTGCATGAGGCATAGATCTTTGCACTATAATCGCTCTCTCTCTGGAAGTCAGATTTCATACAGAGAGGAGTGTCACAAGTCGAGCATTTTGCCTGAGAACAAAACAAAAGGCACAATCTACTCATGTGGTTCTCCAACAGACATAGCACAAACTATGTCCTAAATTATCCTAAGGGCTGATGCCGAATCCTGGAAACCCACATCCTCAGGACCATACTGAAGCTCACTGCACAGTGACCAGCCACATCTCTGGCCCCCTGAACTGTGACTTCTCTGGGGAGTTATTTTATCGAGGAAGGACTTGAGACAGGTTTCTGCCTTGACTCTCTAGGTTTCAGTCGTATCATGTGAGTAGATTTGGTTGTTTGTAACTTTGGCATGAAATGGAGCTTGGCAGAATTTCTCACTGTGTCTGCCGGTCACTGCAATGGGAAGGTGGGGTGGCGGTGGAGAAGCGTTTCTTTAACCGAAAGCCTTGATAGAAATATAAAGGTCTTCATTATAACATCAACATGGTTGAACGCCACTACCCTGGCTTGTCCCTAACGCTTGGGTAGTAGTTCTCCAACTCCAACTGAAACACACACCAGAGTCACAAGAGGGTTTATTGAAAAAAAAAACCCATTGAAGACAACCTTGAGTTTTTAAATCATTTGGTCTAGGGTAGAACCAAGAATCTGTGTTTGTCAGAGACCCACAACTGTTCAGTGTGAAGAGAATGTGTTTCTTTGGAGTGTTCAACCTAAAATGGGACATGTATATAATACCCTCCCCTCAAGGTTCAAAGGTCTGCGCAGAACGGGGAGGGGCTGGTGGTGGACAGACTGTGAGACAGAGGTGGTGGATGTCTTCCTGGACAGAGCAGAGCAGCTGCACATAGGAACTCACCCGGATGATGACATCATTCACAAGACCCGCACAAACTCCAGCCAGACAAAAGCCCAGCCTGGAAGAGGGAAAGAGAACAGGAAGCCCCAACCCTGGCGGGGGATCTACTGGTATTTAACTGCCGACAGGAGAGGGGATGTCAACTCTTCAATGGTATGACAGCTGGTTCCACTCCCAGGAGTGGTCGGCCAACACAAACTGGACCCAAATGAATTGATGAGCATGCGTGCACACACACACATATACACACACCACATGCATGCATACACACACACAAGATGGAGGAGGAGAGAAATGATCTGGATAGAATTGGGAGAATCAGATGAATCTGATCAAGATTCATTGTAGGAAATTCTCAAAGAATTAATAAAAACTTTTTAAAATGTGTGTTTCTAAGAAGTTTCCAGACTGTGTAAGTGCTGATACTGTGGGCCCACTGGTTTACGCTGGGCATTGGGCAATGGCTGACAAAACAAACAAGGTCATATTCTCTCTTCCTCCAACCTTTTCCCAAGAATTGTAATCATGACATGAATTTAATGCCTTTCGTTTCAATTCAACACCTATTAGCAAAATGCCAATGGTGACTCGAGTACAGAGCCCTGTATGTGTAACCCTGAACAAGGCATGAATGCTTAAATCCCTTTGAGGGGACACAATCAGATTAATTGGGAACCTCCATGTTAAGGTAGAAGTCCCTTGGAGGAGCACACAGGCAGTCAGAGAGGAATCAAAGGAAGGACTAGAAAAAGATGAAACAAAACAAAACAAACAAAATGACCACAGGAAGTAGGAAAAGGTTCCTGGCATTAAGTCCTGGTGCTTT